CGCCCGGGGGCCGGGGGCCGAGGCCCGAGGGGGCGGCGGGGCTGGGGGCGGCGCGCGGTACCTACGTGTCTTTGTGGAGCAGCGCCAGGCGCTCCTTGGGCACTTTGAGCCGCTGGGACAGCCGCTTGCGCAGCCCCTCCACCGTCTCGTCCGGGGGCACGGACAGCTCGTAGCGGGTGCCCGTCGTGCTGTGGATGGCCAGGCTCATGGGCGCCGCCTCGGCCGCCGGGCCCACCTCGCAGGCGCCGCCGGGGGCCCCGCGCCGGCAGCTCCGAGCGCCGCCGGGCTGCGGCTCCATCCCCGGCCCGCGCAGGAGGGCTGGGGTCCGCGGGGCGCCGCCAATCCTCGCCGCGCCTCCGGGCCGTGCGGGGAGGGGGGCTCCCCTGGGGGGCGGTCCGCGCGCGTCCGCTCCGACAAAGTCCTCGGGGCGGAGCGGAAGGAGGCCAGGAGTCACGGCTCCGAGCAGCGCTCCGGGGTCGCGTGGGCTCGTCGGGGCGCCTTCCGGGGGCGGGGGCGGCACTCGCCGCTGCTCTCACGGGCGCGGGGCGTGGGGGAGGGTCCGCAGGAGGGGGCGCCGCTCAGGAGGCCGCGCTCGGTGCCGTCCGCCGCTCGGGCCGCGCTGCCCCGCGCGTCCCCTCCTTAGCAACAGCCGCGCCGCCGCCGCCGCCGCCGCCGCCGCCGCCGCCGCTTGGAAGATCTGGGGGTGAAAGTAACAAGAAAAAAAAGTTATAATGTATCAACGTTCCAAGGGGCGGGGCCGCCGCCCCCTCCCATTCACTACTTACTCCGCCGGCCCCGCGTCGGCCAATCGGCGCGCGCCGAACGCCCAGTCGGCCGCGCGGGCCGGCCAATGGGAGCCGCCGCGGAGCTGCCCCACGTGGCCGCGCGGGCCCGCCCCTCGCCCCGCCCCCGGCCCGCCGGCCAAGGGGAGCTCGGCGGGGGCGGGGCTGGCGCCGCTCCGGCCCGCCCCCGCGCTCCACCCGCCCGCGCCGGGGGCCATTCATACGGCCCGCAACAAAGGGCAGGCGGCCCGCGGCGGGCGGGGGGCGGGGGCGCGGGGTCCCGGCCGGGGCGGCGCGGCGTGGGGGCGGGCGGGCACGGTCTCCGCGCCGGGAGGGGCAGGAAGCCGGGGACCTGCCCCCCCGCGTCTGTCCGGGAAGCCGCCGCGAGCGGAAGCGGGAGGCGATCCCCGCGCTTCGCGGCCGGGCCGCGCTCAGGAGCCTCGGCCGGCGGGCGTCCCCCACCCGTGGGGCGTGAGGGCCCGGCGAGGAGCGGCCTGGCGGGCGGTCCTGCGCCCCGGTGACGTGGGCCGGGGCCCGAGGGCCTCTCCCGCGCCTGCACCTCCCGCGTCCCACCCCTGTCCCGCGGGCCGGGCCCGCTTCCCGAGTCGCGCCCGCCCGAGCCGTGACGTGACGCGGCGTCCCCGGCTGCGCCCGCGCGCGCCGCTCGGGGCTGCGGTGAGTCAGCAGCGCCGGCGCGCCCCCTGCCGGCCCCGCCCGGGAGCGCTGCCGGAGCCGTGGGGAGGGGGCGAGGAGGCTGCCCCGGGGCGGGGGCGGGGGCCGGGGGGCGGGCTGCGGCACGGCTGGCGCGGGGGGACCTCCGCCAGGGTCCTGAGCCTCCGACGCAGGAGGCGGGGGCCGCACAACCGGGCACCGCGAGCCCCGACAGCAAGTTGCTCAAGGTCACTCGCGGGGTAGCAAGAGTGCCTGGGAGGCGGGGCGGGGGCTGAGGTCTCGCCGGGGCGGTGCTGGCCGCGCCGAGCCCCTCCCATCCCGCGACCCGAGGGGCTTGCCAGGCCCGGAGACACCCCGAGCCCCGCCTGCCTCCCCGAACAAAGAAAAGTGGGGCGCCCCTCCGAGCCCAGAGGGGGACACCGTGCTCGTCCCGCCGCGTCCCGCCCGCACTCACCGGACGCGGCTAGTCCGAGGTCTCAGCAGTCGCGAGTGGACCCACGTCCGGGCACGGCGCGCGGTGGCGGGGCAGGTCTGGGGCCGAGCGGGCGGCCCCCAAGCCTTTATCCGCACCGCCTTCCCTCGGGGTGGAGTTTGGGCGGGCAGGGGGCGGAGGGCCGGGCGGCCGGTGACGCAGGCGGGCCCCCGCCCCTGCCTGCAGGCCGGGGCCCTGGGGCGCCCGGGGATCGGGCCACCCGCCCCTCGAGCCCCGCCGGGACACTGGGGGCCGCTCCATCGATGCCACGGAGGCCTGGGCCACGAACGGCCGCGCCGATGGGCCGGACCCCCAGGACGGGCTCGGGGTGCACAGGTTGGCTCCCACCCCGCCCCCTTTCCTGCCGCCCTAGGCCGGGTGCTTCCGCCTGGGGGCGCCCGCGCGGGGGAGCGCAGGGAGGGGGTGCCTGAGTCCGCGGCCGCGGTCCAGGAAAACAGGCCGGAGTCACCTGCCTGCCGTGGGGGTGCCCCAGCCAGCTGCCCCGGCGGCCTGGCCGCCTGCATCCCTTAACGGTGACCTCAGAAGGCGTTTATGGAGCGATTAACCTGCGCCAGGCCTGCCTAGTGCAGCCGGGCACCAGCCGCCCAGCCGTGACCTTTCCGGGCCTGTTCCTGCGGCTCTGGGCGCTCCCCGTGGCTGCAGAGACCGAGCCTCCGGCGCGCTCACCCTGGAGCCCCGAGGGGGGCTGGGGGTGGGCAGGACCGCCCTACCCATTCCACAGACCACCCACTGAGGCCTCGCAGCAGCAGGTGAAGACGGGCACGTGGGGTGTCTCCCACCACGTTGCTGTCTGGGTAGAGAACGTTTTGGGGATGACCCTGATGGGCACGGGGCCTCTCAGTTCTCCTGCTCCCCCTGCCCAAAGGAAGGGGACCCCAGGACCTACTCCCCTACCCCTGGTCCGTTTATCTGGTTTCTCACTTTATCTGGCCTGGCCACCTCCCCGGGGCGGTGTTGCTTTCCAGGTCTCCCTCCGGCTCCCACCCAGTGCTCCTGCAGCGTCTGACAGGCCCCCCACCCAGTCACACCCACACCCTCCCAGCCCCACAGGGTCAGGGCTGGGCTGCAAGGAGAGGCTGAGACAACCGTCATCCCTCGCCGGGGACTGTGGCTGAGGCATGGAGGTGGCGGGACAGAGGACAGGGATCCAGAAAGTAAGACAGCGGGCGCAAAGCCAGGCTTGAGGGAGTGCTGGACACCACAGAGGAGGCCGGGGCGCCGTGAGGGCCTCCCTTGGAGGCCGGGCGGGGGGACTGTGGGCTCGGAAGCCGGAGCATCTCCAGGCTGGGGGAGCTCCACATGCGGCAGGTGGTGTTGGCGAGGGCACACACGGCTGTGTGGCCTTGGGAGGGTCTGAGACCTTGCCCTTCAGGCCACCAGGGGAGTGGGTGGTCCTCCTGGAATCGGGGGCCCTGAGGGTTCCTGCACATTTAGGGGCGGGACGCTGCTCTCAGGAAGGGACCCAGCCAGGGCCAACTCCTCAGACGGACTAAGTCCATCCACTTCCTGCTCCTTCTGTGTTCAGAGCATCCCTGTGCTCCAGCTGGTCCTGGGTGGGAGCACACACGCAGTCTGAGGGGACCCCCTTCCTCAACGAGGAGCAAACCCTTCTGGGAGCCTGCCCTCGAGGAAAAGCTTGTGGTCGCTGGTTCCTGGTCATAGGACCTGCTCCAGCCTTGGGGCCTCCGCCCCAGGACCAGGCTGAGGAATCCTGGCTGTATCTGGAGCCGTACCCCCACCTGGAGGCTGAGATCTCCCAGGAAACAGGCGTCTGGGAGAAGGACCCGGGGCGTGGGTGGTGCTGGCCCAGCCAGCTGGATGGAAGTGCTGCTGTCCTGGCCACACTGCTGTGCCCCTCGACCACCCCTTGGGCCCCACACTGCGTCCCTGGTCTTACTGGTCCCAAGGCCTGAGCAGGAGCTCTAGACTCAGCCTCCCAAAACAAGGGAACAGGGACAAGCGGGCCTGCACCTGGGATCCCGTGGCTCTCGTGGCATCCTCTGGCCTGGGGGCCCCTGGGGGAGTGGGCGCCAGCCGCCTGGGCCTACCAGCCTGAGTCGGGGGGCCCAGACAGAAAGGCCCCCTAGCTGTGAGCTGGCCCGCAGACCCCCACAAGCACAGCTCCCACCACCTTTATCCTCTGATGAAGCCACGGGACAGTCACTCACACGGGACCGTGACACACAAGTACACAGCCCATCTCTGCTGACAACATGCCCAGGGGTGGCCTCCCTATCACCTCCAGGCTGCCGATGACACATGGGAAGACCCGGACTCCCCTGCACACTCACCCCCCTGGAATCTCCTGCCAGCCTGGCTCAAGCTCAGGGCTAAGAAAAGGGGGTGAGGGGACCCCTTCCCTGAAATCTGCTGCAGGCCACCCAGAGTCAGCTTCTGGGCCACCCCTGCGGTTGCAAAAGGGAAGAAATGGAGCAGCACAGAAGCTGCCCAGTGCCAGGGCTGCCCCCGCCCAGCTGCTCCACCCCATCTGGGGCCAGCCCAGGGGCCGGGACGGCACAGAGGTGCCAACACCACCGGTGAGGAGGCGCACGGCCAGCCAGGGCCACCCACAGGCCGGGGGAGCAGAGGGCTGGGCCTCTGTGGGGCAGGCAGGATCCGCCTCTTCTCAGCGTGGCCGGGGCGGGCCCGGGAGCCACAGGGCAGACGGCACAGCCTGAAACCTGGCAGAGGCCCAGGTGGCTGTCCAGCAGCCCAGGCCTGGCCCGGGCCCAGCGCCCCGCCCCCGCCTGCTGTCTCCCCATGCCGCCCGGCAACCTCTGCCAATCCCCACCCTCTTGGGATGATGGCAAACGCCCTGCCCACCACCGCCCCTGGCTTCGCTGGCTATGCTCCCCGCACATCCCCACTCCCCAGTTTATTACAGACGCCCCAGGACCTCTTGGGCCGCGGCCTCCAGACTCTGTGGAGACCTGGAGACGGAGGCTGGTATCTAATGCCTCATCCCACCGCGGGGACGCACACGGCTGGAGAAAAGACCAGGTGAGGTCGTGAAGACACCGTCCCAGGCAGGAGACAAAAGCAGCGTACACGAGTCAGGTCCCCGGTTTTTAATGGAAAGCTCGAGTTGGGGACAGGCTGTCCCATGGAAGTGGCTGGGAGTGGGTCTCCACGCCAGGGTCTACGGGGCCGGAGGGATGGCAGGGGCGCATCAGGTGGGGAGCGAGGGGCTGGAAGGTGGACAGTGAGCCCACGGTGGGAGTACCCCCCCCCCCCAAAAAAAGCAGAGCAAAGTCTCTGAGCTCAGCCCCAGTCAGCAGCCCCAACCCCCGCAAGGAGCCTCAGCTTCCCGGGTTTGACGAGGCTGCTCCCGGCAGGAAGCTTAACGGGGCTGCCCCCTGGAGGCCGGCGTCGGCAAGACCGCGCCCTGCACGGGGCGCATCCCTCTGGAGGTTTGCTCACCTTCCGCCCATCCCGCCTCCCGCCATCACTCTGGACCCATGGGAGCTGGCCCAGCCTGCCAGGGACATGGGCCTCGGTTTCCCTGCTGGCAAGGGCCACGCACCGCCTACTCGAGAGCTTTCACCAGGGCCTCGTTGGCCTCGATGCGGATTTGGATCTCAGCCCTGGAAGCCTCGTCCGCTGCCCCCGACAGCTCCGAATGCGCCTTCTCCAGATTCATCTTGGCTGCCTGCAGAAAGTGGGGAGTGGGTGAGGACCAAGCAGGGACCCCCCCAGCCTGCGGCCTGCCGTCCCCCCCGCCCCAAACTCAGGATCCCTTCCCCGAAGCCAGGGACCTCCAGCACAACGCTGGCCTCCGCGGTACCTGATTCCCGTGAGACACTCACCCCCACGTCCAGCATGTCTAGTGTCACAGCCTCTTCAGCCAGCAACTGCACTGAGGAATCAGCGTTCACCGTGACTGAGCCACTGCTCACTACAGGAAGAAGATGATGTCAGGCCTCCACAGCCACCTGCACGGACACGTTCAGCCCCCAAACTATAGAAGTGACTCCACGGACTGCCCCTAGGCTCTAGTGCGGAAAATAGACAGCTGCAGGGCAGGGAAAGTGCCCACGGGGCCCAGGCGCACCTGCTGGGGCTAGACAGAGATAACAGAGCCCTTCACCCACCAGCCCAGCAGCTCAGCTAGGCTCAGGGATGGCCGGGAGCTGGATGGGAATCCTGGCTGCTCGTGGGGGTTGTGCTGGTGGAAGCACGTCTTGAGATCCAGTGTCCCACCCCTCCTCACCGGCTCCTGCAGATTTGGTTTCTGTCTCCGACACCTGTTTCCTCTCCACTCCCACCCTGATCTGCCACCAGCTCTTTTTTTTTTTTTTTTAATTTTGCTTATATATTCATTAGAAACGCACAAGGCGAATCAAAGACACAGACAGAGAAGCAGGCTCCCTACGGGGAGCCCGATGCGGGGCTCGATCCCGGGACTCTGGGATCACGCCCTGAGCCAAAGGCAGGCGCTCAACCGTTGAGCCCCCCCAGGCGACCCTCCCTGGCAGCTTCTTAGCGGCAAGTTTGCTTTGTGAACCCAGCCCGGACCCACAGGACTCACCGAAGTATTTGGAGACGGTGCCGTCCTCGGCGTGGACAACCACCAGCCCGGGCCGCAGGACCTGCAAGGTGGGCACGTGCGCCGCAAGGATGCCAAAGGCTCCCGTCTGCGTGGGGACATCCACCTGCCGCACGTTCGCACCGTTGAAAAACACCTGGAAGACACACCGAGGGCAGGCGTGACTGCAGGCCGGCCTCCCAGCGCGCGGGCCAGGACCCGGAGCTGTAGCCCCGACAGGGGACAGGGCGCTCGCGCTGCCCCCCGGCTGCCCCCCGCGCCGGCACCGAGCCCCCGCAGCCCGCCCGCAGACACCTGCGGCGAGAGCACCGGACCGCGCGGGACCGGGCGGGGGGGCGGGGCGCCAGGGCCGGCGGGGGGGGGGGGGCGTGGGCCCGGGTCCGCACCGCGCAGGGGAGGGGCACGGCGAGGGGCACGGGGGGTCTCCGCCGCGCCCGGGGCTGCGTCCGGGCCAGACCCGCCTCCGAACCTGCGTGGGTGACGCGAAAGTGAAGGACATCTGTCCCGGGGCCGCGGCCGGAGCCGCGGCGGCCTCGGCGTAGGCGCGGGCCTGGCGGACGAGGCAGCGCAGGCCGGGACGGCGGAGGACCGCGGCGGGCAGCATGGCGACGGCGGCGAGCGGACTCCGGCCGAACGCGGGCAGCCTGGAGGACGCGGAGGACGGCGCGCGGGGACCTCTGGGAAGAGAAGTCCGGGCAACGGCGCACGCGCGGACTACGACTCCCGGCGAGCCGCGCGCGACACTGGCAAGGACGCAGTGCGCCCCGCGCGCGGCATGCTGGGGATCGTAGTTTTCTTCCAGCCCCAGCGGCCCTCCGGGTGGCAAGGTGGGATGGATGTCAATGGGAAGGAGCAGAAACCTCCGCGGAGCAGCGGTCACTTGAATTCATGATTTTGGGGGCGCTCGCTGGACAACGGGCGCTCGAGCCATCAAGGTGAATACTAAGATTGCGGCTCCGGTGTGCGGACGTTTACCAAACATTTAGTGAACCGAGTACCCCAATCGTATGGCACGTTGGAAGCCCCCAAAAGTACTCGAGATAAAAGGAAAGCAGCGTCGGGGTCCGGGATGGATGGGGTCGGCTGCGACTGTCGGAGACGCAGCCGTGTCGGGAGGGCAGCCCCAGGCGGAGCGAGCAGCGAGGATGCGACTCCCGACGCCGCCGGCAGAGGGCGCTCCGCGACCGGAGACGCTCTCGCCGCGGCCCCGCCCGGCCCCCGCCCGGCCCCCGCCCCCGCGCGCCTCTGACGCACGGACGCGTGCGCGGGCGGCCCAGGGCTCCGCTGACGTCACCTCGGCTCGCGCAGCCTCGCTCGCAGCGTTGACGTCACCGCCTCGCCCCCGCGTCCACGCAGGTGGCGCCCGGGGCCAAGCCCCCGGGGCCCACCTGTAGGGTCTCCGGTAAAACGCGGAGTGTGGGTCGGACGGGCTCGGGGCCCACACGAGCGGAGGGGTGCAGGCCGCCGCGGAGGCAGGGTCGCGCCCGGGTCGGGGTCAGGGTCAGGGTCAGGTGTCGCCCCGTTCCCTGCCTCCCAGCAGGTAGGGCCGGGCCTGCCTGGACCCCGCCGCTCCTGGGCCGCGTGTGCAGCGGGAGCCCCGTGCGCATTTCTGGGGAAGCGTCCTGGGCGCAGCCCCCTCTCCCCAGGCCCGGGCCCCCATGGCGGGAAGCCCACGCCACCTCCCCGGTCCGCCCCTCGGGCCCAGCCGCTGGGCAGGCTCTCCCCACTTCCTACTGCAGGCGGGCCAGGGGGTAAACTGAGGCCGCAAGCCTCGGGCCGGCCTGGAAATCTCCAGGTGTGCTCAGTGGGGCCCCCACAGCCACTGCCGCCTTGGGATGCGCAGCCCCCGCCCCTGTCCTTGCTGCAGACGGGGTCGCACACGGCCAGGGCACCGAGTCACTCTGCTGCGGGGACCCAGCCGACGGCTCTCCTCGCTCCCCGCCACGCAGCCCGCCCATCTACAGACTTACTGGCACCTCAGGTCCTTTGCACATTCAGTTCTGCTCACTCAAGCCCGCTTCTCCCGGGTCTTTACTCACTTAAGCACAATTTTGTCTCCAACGTGCCAGCCTTGTGCGACGCCCTGGGGCAACTCACCTGACTACGGGGGAGGAAGGGGTGAGGAGGGGCACAGCCCACCAGAGCGAGTAACAGGCGACAGGGCCGTGGGAAGGAGCAGGGAACTGGAGCGTGGGATGGGAATTGTCGTTGCCCAAGACGGCCGAGGGGACGCGCTCTGGGACTTGGCCACTTAGGAAAGGGTCGAAGGAGGCCAGGGGGTGAATGCTGGAGAGAGTGGGGAACGGGCCAGCCGGGCCCAGCAAGTGCAAAGGCCCTGGGGTTGCAGCGGCAGCGTGAGTTTTCACTGGAGGAGCAGGGGTGACCCGAAGGGCGGTGAGCGGGTCCAGGCTGGAGCAGGGGGTCCAAAGCGTCCAGGAGGACGAGGCACGACTCCCTGAGGGAGGAGGAGCGGGCTGGGCGCGGGTCGTAGCCCCTGAGCTTCGCGGCCGCTGGTCCCCACCAGGCCGACAGCACCCCTGCCCCCGGCTGCGCGTCCCGAGGGGGGGGGGGCCGGCCGGGGGCAGGGGGGAGGGCAGCGGGCGCTCCCGGCTCCTCGCCGCCTCCCGCGTCCCCCGGGACCCCGCGCAGGGTCGGCGGCGGCGGCGCGGGGGGCGGGGACTCGGGCCCGGCGTGGGGAGGGGGCGTCCGGCGGCGCAGACTCCGCCCCCCGCTCCCGCCGGAAGGGCAGGGGCGGCGGCGAGCAGACGCGGCGGCGAGCGCGGCGGGGGCGGCGGGCCCGGCTCGGTGGCACCGGCGGTCGGGGCGGGCGGGCCGCCAGCGCGGTCACGTGCGCCGCGCCTCCTCCCGCGCCGCCGCCCCCGCGCGCCGCGCTCCCCATTCATAAATTCTCCGCCTGCTCCGCGGCCACCGGGCACCGGAGCCGCCGGGAGCGCCGCGCAGCCGCCCGCCCGCCCGCCCGCCCGCCCCGCGTGGGCCGCGCGCCCCGGCGCTCAGGTAGGCGCGGCGGGCCCGGAGACGGCGGGGCGGGCGGGCGGGGGCGGCGCGGGCCCTGCATCCCCCGGGAGCGGCCTGGGCGCGGGCCCGGCCTCAGTTTCCCCCGTGCGGCCCGGCGCGGGCGATGGCGTCTCCGAGTCGGGGGGCCGGCGGGCGCGGGGCCGGCGGCGGCTCAGGGGCGGGCCCGCGGGGAGCGTCCGCCTGGGGGCCGGTCCCCGCCTACCTCGGAGTCCGCTTGTCGCCGCGCTGGCCCCGTCCCCGTCCCCGTCCCGGTCCCCGGCCCCGTCCCCATCCCCGTCCCGGTCCCCGTCTCCATCCCCGTTCCCGTTTCCATCCCCGTCTCCATCCCCGTTCCCATCCCCGTTCCCATCCCCGTTCCCATCCCCGTTCCCGTTTCCGTCCCCCCCGTCCCCGCGCCCCTGCCCCTCCGCCGCCCGCGCTCGCCGACCTACATCCGCGCCCCCTCCCCGAGGATGCGGAGGACGCGCGGCTCCGCCCGGGGCCTGCTCCCCCCGCCGCGTCCTCTCCCGGCCTCAGTGTCCCCGAGGGGCCGCGGCCGCCGCAGCCATCTTGCCGCCCTCCCCCGCGCCCCTCCCCCCGCGCGGCCGCCCGCCGTCGCCATGGGAACCGGGTGCTTCGGGGCTGGGAGCAGATGCGCCCTGTTTGGCCTCTCGGCCCCCCCGGCCCTGGAGGAGGACGAGGACGCCCCGCAGTCGTGACTCGCGGCCGCCGAGCTCCCCACTGGCCCCTCCGCGCGGGGCTCCCCGGCCCCGGGGTCGGCGGGGCGGGGCGGGGCGGGGCGGGGCGGCCGGGGCTCTGGCCCTGGAGCGGCGCGGAGCGGGAGGCCGCCGCCGCTGAGAGCCCTGCCCCCCCAGGCCCGTCCCGCGCCCAGATGCAGCCCACGCCCTCCATGGCCACCGCCGCCAGCGCCGCGGCCACGGCCGCGCTGACCTCGAGGTGGGACAACGCCACCGGCAGCCCCACCGTGAGTGCGGGGTGCGGCGGGGGGGAGGGGCCGGCCCGGCCGCGCGGTCCTGACCCCCGCTGGCCCACAGGCGGAGCCCGACCCGGTGGGGGACAACTACGTGCTGCTGGTGGTGGTCCTGTCGCTGTTCGTGGGCGGCTCGCTGGTGGTGCTGTCGGGGGTGCTGCTCCTGTGCAAGCGCTGCTGGGAGGTCCACCGGCGCCTCGACAGGTGGGCAGCCCGCCGCCTTCCTGGGCGCGTGAGCCGGCGGGAGGGACACGTGCACACGTGCGTGTGCTCGCCGCGTGGCGTGGCGGGGGTGAGGTGAGCGGCGGGGCGGCCGGGGCGCGGTACGTGTGTGCACGGCCCTGCAGCGGTGGCCGCCGTCCCACCTCGCTGCCCTGCGGTCCCTCCCCAGGGCCACCGAGGAAGCCGAGAAGACCACCACCACCTACCTGGACAACGGCGCCCACCCAGCCCAAGGTGCGGCGCCCCGCCAGGCCCGCCCCCCACCCACCTGCCCGCCCCCCGCCCGCCCCCTCGGGCCGCCTGACCGCTGTGTCTGTCTGTCTCCCCCACCAGACTGGGCGCAGCTCGATTCCGACTCATCTCTGTTTCCTTAGAGCCCACGCGTAGGTGCTCACAGGCGCGTGCTGAGCGAGTGAGTGTGTGAGCGGGAGTGTGAGTGCCCACCCGGCCCCCGCCCCGCCCCAGCCCTCAGTCGCCCCGGCCCCCGCCCGCCCGCCCAGCAGCAGGCGCGGCCCGCCCGGGGCCCACCCTCTGGCTCTCCTCGCAGACCCCGACCTCAGGGGGGAGGACCCGGAGGGCCAGGACGCGGAGACGGAGCGCTTCCTGTCCACGAGCTCCACGGGCCGCCGGGTGTCCTTCAACGAGGCGGCCCTGTTCGAGCAGAGCCGGAAGTCGCAGGACAAGGGCCGCAGGTAAGGGGCGGTGCAGCAGGGGGACCCGGCCCCGGAGCGGGGAGTGGGTGCTGGCCTGGCCCTCCCCCGAGCTGGGGCGGGGGCGGGGGCCCTGGGGGCTCAGGCTGAGCGTGGGGGCCGGCTGGCGTGGTGACAGGCAGCCGTGCGGGCGCAGGTACACCCTGACGGAGGGGGACTTCCACCACCTGAAGAACGCCCGCCTCACCCACCTGCACCTGCCACCCCTCAAGATCATCACGATCCATGAGTGCGACTTGGGTGAAGCCAGTGCAACGCCCCCCCCCCACGCCGTCACGGCCCCCAAGGCCAACCTTGCCATATTCCAGGTGACTACGAGGGCGGGGCCCCCCCTTCCCCGCTCTCTGGGCTGGGCCCCTCTCGGGACAGGGGCAGGGGGCCTGGCCGGGGTGCGCCGTGGGCTACGGGTGCAGAGCCCCCCTCACCCGCCCGTGCTCTTTGACCTGTTGCTGCTTCCTCCCCAGCCCCCGGGGAAGGCCCTCACCGGCCGCTCCGTGGGCCCCAGCTCCGCCCTGCCAGGTGACCCCTACAGCTCAGCCGTGGGCCCTGCCGACTTCGAGATCAGCCCCTTGGCATCCAGCGACTGCGGGGAAGGCACCCGGGTGAGGGCCCCCGAGCGGCCCCCGCCCTCCCTGCCCCCTTCCAGGACAGAGGTCAGCCCGTGGCCTCCCCCACCGAGCTCCCCTTGCTCCTCCTGGTTCCCCTGCACGGGCAGAGGGGGGTTAGGCAGCCCGCGGGGTACAGTCATGACCCCCCCGCCCCCACACTCAGAGCATTGCGGCAGCAGGACAGCGTGCGGTGAGGACCCGGCCCAAACCAGGGCACGAGTGCTCTTGGACGCTTGCCCTCGGGAGCTGCTCGGCCTGGGGCTGGGGGAACAGCGCGGCCGCGGCTCATGTAGCTTCCACCCCCCCCAGAGCTGTCTGCCCTCTGCACCCTGGGTGGGGTGCGTTGGGACTGTGCAGGGCTACAGCTGCCACGGGCGTGCAGAGCTGGGGCCCAGGCTGCGGCCAGCTCGGGGGGCAGCGAGGGGGGGGGCTGCGCGCCTGAGAGCGCTCCGCTTTCCTTCTAGTCGGACGCAGGTACGAGGAGCGCCATGGCCGTGGGGCCGGGGGCCACGAGCGGGCCCGGGGAGGCCGGCCCAGGCTCCGGGGCAGGACCTGTCCTGCAGTTCTTCACCCGCCTGCGGCGCCACGCCAGCCTGGACGGGGCGAGCCCCTACTTCAAGGTCAAGAAATGGAAGCTGGACCCCAGCCAGCGGGCATCCAGCCTGGACACCAGAGGTGAGCGGTGATCCTCGGGAGAAACCAGAGCCCCGGCCGTCAGGCAGGTGCCGCCCCAGGCAGCCTCAGAAGGAGGTTCTGCACCCACGCAGGGGTCCGTGCCGCTGAGGGGCACCTTGCCCACGGGCTCACCGCCGGCTGGGCCGCATACCGTGGCCCCAGGAAAGCCGGGGGGTTGTCAACACCGTAGCTGAGGTTGGTGAACTTCTGTAGGGCACGAGACGGGGGTGCGTTTGGAGGGGCCGTCAGCCTGTCTGGCCCGGTGCTGCGAATCAGCCGGGGTCTGCGTGTGAGCGAAGGCCTGCGCCCATAAAACTAGCTACCCTAGGTTGCAGGCCCATTTGGCGCGTGGGCCACAGCGTCCCCACCAGTCCTGCAGACCCCTGGTCACGTGGGTCACTTGGGCCCTGTGCTCGGGCTTCCTTATCCTCAGCCCAAAGCTGCAGTGAGTGTCGGGGCGAGGAGGCGGCCGCCCTGGGCGGTGGTCCCCCGGGCGTCTAACTCTCCCTGCCCAGGGATCTGCGCCAGGACGGGACAGGCCGTGGGGCACCTGCTGCCCGGGGAGGTGGGGGGCCCAGTGCCAGGGGAGGGGAGGGGGCAGTGGCGGCTGTGAGCCCTCCTGCTGGGGCCTGGCTCCAGGCCGGGAGGGGAGGGCCCGTGCCTTTGGGAGCCGAGATGGCGCTCGTGATTCCTGCGGGTAATTAGGGTCGAGTGCAGGTGCGCGGGTGCCCAGAACCTGTTTGCTGGGTGACTATCCTGCCTACCCCTGAGGCTTTCCCACCAGAGCTTCTCCCAGGCCCTTCAGGGGCCCACGGGGGAGGCGGAGCTGGCACAGGAAGCCCCCCCACTGCCCCCCCCCCCCCCCCGCCAGCCTGTCCCTGGTTCTCCCACGCGGTCCGGCTCCTGCACTGAGCTCAGCAGGGCCCGCCATCAGGTGTCCGGTACGAGTCTTTGCCGCGGCCAGGGCCGCTCCGGGGTACTGCTTCCACCTTGACAGCCCAGCTCACACCTGCTCTGGCTCTTCCCGCGCCTGCATGCCGGGTATACGCTCACCTGGCCCAGGCTGGTGCCTGCTGGTCTAGGGCGGGAGTGGGGCCCCGGGCAGCTGGGGACTTAAGCCGGCTGACGGCTGACGTGTGTTCCCTGTACAGGCTCCCCCAAGCGGCACCACTTCCAGCGGCAGCGGGCAGCCAGTGAGAGCACGGAGCAGGAGGAGGGCGACGCCCCCCACATGGACTTCATCCAATACATCGCCAGCGCAGGCGACACTGTGGCCTTCCCGCCCCCCCACCCCTTTCTGGCCAGCCCCACCAGCCCATCCCCCACTCTCGGCAGGTATTTTTCAGTAGATAGAAGCGCTAGGGGTGGACCTGTGGGCCCCGGCCGCACCCAGTGCCCCCCACATTGCCCTGGGGGGGGCTCTCCCCGCCCTGCAGACATGTCCCGTTCCCCCCTTCCACTATCCCCCCTGGAAGCTGCCTTGCTGGGGCCACCTCTCCAGCATGCGTCAGAAGAGGGGAACAGGGGGGGACAGGGTAAGGACAGAGGGGCAGGTGGGGCCCAGGATGATGGCCACAGGGTCCCCAGGACGGGATGCCCGCCCAGTTAGAGCTGCCGGGGGCGTGCACCTGCTTGGATGTTACTGCTTCTTGGTGGAATCCACGGCCCAACGCGCTCTGCGGTGGCCCTGCGCTCCTTCCCGCCTGCCCGTGCTCCTGAGGCATTGAAACGCCCCTTCTCAGAACCTGTGACCCCTTCTGCCAGCAGCACCCCCCTACTCCCAGTGGCTGGGGGTAGCAGGGTGCTGGAGCCCAGGAGTAGAGGCTGAGCAGGACTGCACCTGGTCCCGTCCGCCCACGGCCAATCCCTTCTACGCTGAGACGTTAGGGAGAGAGCTTCACGGGAGAATGTTCAGTGTGTCTAGGGCAGGAGCTGCCATCTGCAAGGCCAGCAGGTGCTCGGGTCAGACGCTGTAAAAACATGACCTGGTCAAAAAGCAGGTGCCAGGAAGGCTCAGGTTGACCAGAACGCATACCCCGCAGCAGGGACTGGCAGCGTTTATTTTAAGAGAACAACTTTTCCGCAGAGCCTGGCCAAACCCAGGGGGTCCCCACCCGTGCCCCCCCTTCCAGACCCAGAGTCAGGGCGGCTGGGGAGAAAACGCAGGGGCGCGCACAGCCTTGACTGCTGCGGCCTGGCTTGCAGGCTAGAGGCAGCCGAGGAGGCGGGCGCCGCGGGAGGAGCGAGCCCCGAGTCCCCCCAAGAGCGCAGCGGCGCGGGCGAGCAGCAGGAATCTGATGGTGAGCGGGACTCGGGCCCAGAGCAGGCCCAGACCAGCTACCGGGACATCTGGAGCCTGCGCGCCTCCCTCGAGCTGCACGCGGCTGCCGCCTCGGACCACAGCAGCAGCGGCAACGACCGCGACTCGGTGCGCAGCGGCGACAGCTCGGGCTCGGGCTCCGGGACCGCCGCGCCCACGTTCCCGCCGCCGTCGCCGTCGCCGCCGCCCCCGCCACGGCCCGCGGACAGCGAGGCGGGAGGGCCGCGGAAGCTGCTGCAGATGGACAGCGGCTACGCCAGCATCGAGGGCCGCGGCGCGGGCGAGGACGGGCTCCCCAGCGCGTCCGAGAAGCGCTCGTCCTTCACCAGCGCCGGCCGCACGACCACCGTGGGCAGCAGCTTCGAGGCGGCGCCGGCGTCCGCCGAGGCGCCCGCCCGGCCCCGCAGCCCGCGCGCCTGGCCCCGCCGCGCCCCGCGCCGCGACTACAGCATCGACGAGAAGACGGACGCGCTCTTCCACGAGTTCCTGCGCCACGACCCGCACTTCGACGACGCGCTGCCCTGCGCCGCCCGTCCACCGCGCCCGCGCGCACCCGCACCCGCACCCGCACGCGCGCAAGCAGTGGCAGCGCGGCCGGCAGCACAGCGACCCCGGGGCGCGCGCCGTCCCCACCGCGCCCGCGGCCCCCTTCGGCCCCGACCCGCGCCCCCCACGCGCGCCCCTGCGCCGCGGCGACAGCGTCGACTGCCCGCCCGAGGGCCGCGCGAGCGAGGACCCCGCCGTGCCCGCCATCCCGGTCATCGAGGAGGAGCCCGGCGGCGGCGGCGGGCCCCCGGGGACGCTGCTGGACAAGCTGGCGGCGGGCCTCGAGGACAGACTGTTCCCGCCACGCGGCGCCCAGCCCCTCGCCGCGGCCCCTGCCCCTGCGCTGGCCGTCGCCGCCGCGCCCACGTCTCCCGACCACGGCCCGGCCTAAGCCCCGCAGGCCCGCTGCCGCCGCCGCCGCTCGCGCTCGCCTCGGGGCCCCAGGCGCTCGGCCCCGCGGCCTCTCCTGGGGGGGCGGACCGGAGGGGGCGGGCAGGGTGGCGTGGGGCGCACCCGGACAGCCCCGGCCCGGCCCACGGCGCCCGCGGGTGGGGGCGCCGACCCCCGAAGCTCTTTACCTCACCGCGGCATGTGCTCGCGGCAGTCCGCGCCCCCCGCGCCCCTCCGAGCAATAAGCCGCCCGCGCCCGCCCCGAGCATGAGTGGGCCGCCCGCCCGCCGCGGTCGCACCGTCCAAAGAGCTGCCAGGACTCGTTAGCGTCTGGAGACACACAACACCCCAACGGCCAAGGTTTCAAGTTTCCCAAGCTTTATTTATTGCCAAAAGATGGGGCAGCCCGCGCCCACGGCCGAGCCGCCCCGCCCGCCGCCCCCGGAGCTTCGTGCCGTCTGTGTACCATCCAGTGATGGAGTTTCTCGTGTTTTCTGGTGGATTATAAATATTGACTGCACACTCCTGCTTAGTCCGGGTTTTCTCTGGGGACCCAGGCGCATAGAGACCTTAGCAGGAGGGTCGGGGCCCGCAGTCAGGTCCTAGCGGCTGCGCTGCGGCCTGGGGGGCCCTGGGGCTGCGAGAGGGACACCCGCCGCCACCGAGGGGACTGATGTCCAGCACGGCCCGGGTCCCGCCCCCCACCAGACCTGCAGACCCCAGTCTGCTCCTGAGCTGGGAGGGCCACGCAAGGGGCCCAGGCTTGAACTCTGATCCCCAGCCCGCAGGACATCTTGCCACCCAACAACTCCCAAACACCCTGCACAACCACAGCTCAAATCCACCTGCTTTATTTTTTTCTTAAAAAAAAGAAAAAACCAACCAAACAACAAAAACAAGGCAGCCGCCTGGCTCCCCTGGGCTCTGGGCATGCATCTTGGCTGGCAGGCCTGTTCTCCATACCGGCTCCTGCTGTGGCTGTGGTTTGAACACATCACTAGGTGTGGGAGGCGCTAACGTGGAGCAGAGTAAAAAGAAGTCAGGGGTGGGGCGAGAACCAGTAGTCTGAACATAAAGTGCATGGCAAGGGCTTCCCACAGGGCCCACTCGCCGGCTCTCTCCCTCCTCCCCGGGCCCGGGGAAGGGGCTCGGCCCAGGGCTGCAAAGTCAACAGGAGGTCGTGTCCACTGGCCATGAAGAGGCGGCCAGACCTCAGTCCCTGCCGTCCCCCAGCCACGGCCCTCCAGGGCCCCCGGCTTCCCGAGGGGCGGTCGGCAAGGAGGGTGCGGTGGTGGCCTTCCTGGGCAGCAGGCCTGGGCCAGCGGTCGGCGGGAAGGCTGAGAACCTGGGCCGTGGCACCTGGCTGGGGGTCCATGAGACGGGCTGCAGACGGAACAGACCGGTCACTCCCGGGCCAGCACGCATGTTCTGCATCCCAGGAGGCACACCCCACCCTGGGGCCCGCCGTAGGCTAGGGAAACAGGCCTGCTCATATGGGGCTGTGAGATGTCCACAGTCCACTCCCTGCCCGGTCGAGTCAAGCACCACCCTCCACAGAGGAAGCCCGGCCTGGGGGCCCCCCAAACCACCTGGCTGGTTGTGATGCTGGCAGGTAAACACTGCAGGGCCGGGGGGTGGGGGGCAGCTCCCTGGGAGAAGGTACCCCGCCTGCACCCTGAGCAGATGATGGGTCTCCAGCACCCATGGGCCTGAGGCCCCACCACACACGCCTTCTTGGACTGGGGAGGGCAGGGGCGGGCAGGGGCAACCCAGAGGGGGCAGTCACCAGGGTGACAGCCTGGGCCAAACCGAAGACCCACGCACCCATGCGGTGCCTCCTATGCCTCTGGGCTGAGTCCAGCATCACCCACGGCTGGCTGGACAGGCCGAGTGGGGGGCCCCCCGCCTGCATGTGGGAGCTGCTACCCAACCCCCACCCGAATGGCCAGTATCCTGGGGAAAGTGACCTCTTCTCCCTCCGACCCAGATCCCAGGTGCCCCCCTCAACAGGTGCCCACAGCAGCCTACCTGTGGGCAGCCACCCTCACTGCTGCTTGCAGGCCGACAGCCGGCGGATCTTGCTGCTGGCTGAGCAGGCCTTGCGGGCGGGGTTGGAGGCAGCGCTGGCCCGGCGCTCCACCTTCGATTTGGTGCTCAGCTGGGCCGACTCCGTGCCGTTCATGCACACCACCTTGGGGGGGGCCCGGCTCTGCCCGTTCTGGCCAACCTCCTCCTCTGGGACCTGTCCTAGGAGGGAGAGGGCGAGTGTGGGCTGGTAGGGGCCCAACACCAACACCCTGCCCCCACCCCCACCCCGCCCGGCACGGCCCCTCCACCGCCTGCCTCACGCGCCCCCGCCCAGGGCCTGCCTGCAGGACCCCTCATCCAGCTGGAGGGAGCAAGGGCCTCAGAGCTGGCCAGCCAAGGCGGGGGCCCAGCCCACGCTCACCTGCCTGCTCACGTGTGAGCTGTGTTTCTGCACTCAGGTGGGCGTGGGCTGCCCCACTCACCCTCCACCCCAGCACATGGTGAGGGACCAGGGTCCTGGGGCACAGGGCTCTGGGCTGGGCCCGCTCACCTGTGTGGAGGCCAGGCCTCAGTGGGCCCCCGTGGGGCTTGGGAGGGGCTGGGCTCCGGCCAGGTGCGCAATACTCAGCTTTCCCCTTTAGGCCAGCCTCACCTCCCCGTACTGGGCACAGGATGCAGAGATCAGAGCCCGGGGCCTGCCGCGCCCCTACCTGCTACCAGGCAGCAGCAGCCCCTGCTGGCATCCAGGGGCCACGGGCCTGGCTGCGTTCCTATGCTCTGAGGTACGGGAGCAGGAAGGCGTGCAGGGGTCAGCCAACCCCCCAGGCCCATGGGGCTCATTCAGTTCACAAAGAAAATCGGCCTGCTGCCCAGAGCCCGCCCTCCCGGGACACGAGTGGGAAGCTGCCCCCGGCCGCCTACAGTCCACCTCTTCTCCAGCAGAGCCCCCTCTAGGCCATCGGTCCCCGGTATCTGACTCAGCAGCCTCTAGGCTCTTGCCCTGAGCCACCCCAATGCACACAGGCAGCATCCTAGGTCAGAGCGCCTCACTGCTGACGGGTTCCTGCCAGGGAGAGCTCTTGGGGGGGCGGGGGGTGTCAGGTGGGCTGCTCTGATGGAGGAGGGGCCCAGTGGGCACTGGGTACTGCAGCTCTGCACGGACCACCCGGAGCCCAGCCACTGGCACAGCAACTATGGCTGGTGGGGGGCTGGGCTGGGGATCTGGTCTCTTTATCCTCAAAGGGCCAGGGCATCGTCCACAACCACCCACCAAGGTCCAATGCCCAGCACCCAGCTTTCAGGGTGGGCGGCAGCTCCGCACAGTGGGGACAGTCCCAGGAGTCCCAGGCTAAGCAGTGAGAGCCTCTGAGGGTGACCACACCACTGGGACTGGAGCGAAGAGGGGACGTGGGCCCAGCACAGCTCACTGAGGACCCACGAGAGGTCAGAGTAGGTAGCCCCGGTCCCGGAGCACAACTGTGTCGGGCCAGGCATCTGCCTCCAGGCTGGAGAGCCGTCCGCAGCCACGGAAGGCCGCCCTGGCCTCTCACACAGGCTGAGCCAGTATCGGCAGTCAGCGGTCTGGCGAGGGTCTGGGGATCTGTCCGGGTCCTCACTCCACCTTGCTGGGACAGCGGACGGCCCGCCGGCAGGGGTCACTCCTGAGGACCTGACGCAACACCTCATTCCTGTTCTAGATGGGGGACAGGCCTCTAAAAGGCCAGGGCTTCCAGGGCCAGGACTCGGGGCCCCAGGACCCTGTAGGGAAACAGCTGAGCCAAAGCCGCAGCACCCTGGGGTCCAGCAGGTGCCAGCTTCACCATGGCCCTGCAGCTGGCTGGGACGGGCACCACGGACCCCCCAGCATATCCCCTGCAGGCATGGATGCATGAACCCTGCCTGGCTCTGCCAGGAAAAGAGCCCTGGGCGCCCAGCACTACTGCCGAGTGGGGTGTTCCCAGGGGCCCCACCCACCACAGGCCACCCTCACACACCCGTTTTCCTACAATAAAAACCTAACGCTTGGCAAACAAGCCAGGGAAAGGGAAGCAAGTATCACCCACACACACGCAGTGGGGCAAACCTTTATGATGGGAACCTGCCAAACGGGCCCCAGAACAGAACAGTGAACACTGGGAGTGGGGGGTATGCTCGGGCAGCAGGGGCAGCGGCCCTGGCCTCCCTCAGACACCTGGCAGGGTCAGTGAGGGTCGGGGGGGGGGTGCTGAGGCCTGGCCTCTGAGGCACCGGGCAGCACTGGGGGGCAAGGGGCAGGGCAACACTACACTAAGGCCTTGAGCTCCTCTGCGCCCCCGGCCTCAGCTTCCTCTCCAGAAAGTTCTGAGCACTGGCTCTTCTGCGTGCCTCTCTCCTCTCTAAGCCCTGCCTCAGACGCCTCCTCGCCACCTGGGGAAGCAAGGCGACATGTGTCAGGGTGGGCAGCCAGGCACCAGGAGGGCCACTGGACCCTCTCGGGGCCATCAGAGGGCTTCCCCCATCTCTCGCCACCTGGCAGGACGAGGTGTGCACCCCCAGGGCATAGGAGGGCGACCTGGTGGCCTCTGCCCTCCAGGATCCCCACCTGCCTCTGAGGTGGAGGGGAGAGCCGGCCACAACCCCCAGGGCTATGGATGCCGGCTGCAGGCCCTCCGGGGCTGAGGTCAGGTCGGGGCCGGCAGGGACATGACCTCTGCCATGGGGCAGGCGGACGCCGAGGCCAAGCTACAAGGCACCTGCGGCTGCCGGACTCACCGGGCACCGTGAAGTCCTGAGTGTAGATGATATCGTCCTCGATATCGAACAGGTCCTCCTCCCCGTTGTCGTCGGCACAGCCGTGCAGGTCCTCCAGGTAGGGCACCACCGTCATGCCGCGCCAGCGGTCCTTGCAGTCCGTGCTCGGCGGGATGGGCACCAGCTCCTCGGCCGGCGGGTGCTTCTTCCGGAACCAGCTGTGGAAGTCAGCCAGTCAGGTGGCCTGCGGGCCCGCCCAGCCCCCTGCGCAGCTCTTGTCCTCGGGACGCAGGAGACCGAGGGCCAGAAAGGGCCCCCATCCCCGTCCCCCCATGAGGACCCCACGGGGACGCTCACCTGTGTTGTCTGATCTGCTGGATGGAGAACCTCCTGGCTGGCTCGTATTCCAGCATCCCTGACGGAAGAGCAGCGGGCCGCGGGGAGTGAGCGCTGGGCACGCAGCCCCCGCCCCGCCCCGGCCCGTGTGCAGAGGGCACCCCCAGGAGGCGGCGCCGCTGCCAAGTGTGAGTGGAGCCCCTCCAGCCCCGCCCCTCCACGACCCTGCCCAGGCCTGGCCTCCACCAACAGGCTGACCCGGCGTGGGGCACAGCGCGGAGTCCTGCCCCAGGCCCTGCCACACCACGAGGGGCTGTCTGGGCCCTGCGCCCCACGGGGCCGCCCAGCAGAAAGCAGCAAAGCCGCAGGCCGTGGGGATGGTGGGAAGATGGCCAAAGGACGGGGAATGCTGTTCACACAGCACAGTCCCATCCCAGGATGCACGACCTGCCCACAGGCCGGAGGCCGACGAAGCACGCGGGCAGGCCTGCTGTCTGCCGGCACGGGCCAGCAGGCTGGTGATGCTGGTGACCAGCATTCCTAGCCAGGACCCCTCGGGCCCTGAGACAGCAGGAGAGAACGGGAGGCCATGAGGCAACACGCGGCGGATGTTCATGCAAGCGCGGCACCAGGGGCAGGTCCTACCCTGGAGCCCGCAGCTTCTGCTTCCCCCTTCCACGGGGGAGGGTGGAGCTTCCCAAGCATGATGGGGGGGTGAGGGGTACAGCTCCGAGAGCTCTGCACCTCACCCACGTGGAGGGCAGCTTTGATCTCAGGACATGCGTGGTGATTTGGAGAGCCGGGGGCTCAAAAACCTGAAGGTCTGAGTGGGGCAGAAGAGGAGGTAAGATCGTGGGTCGTGGCCTCAGTGCTCAGCGCGCAGGCAGGAGGACCGACATCAGGCCTGAGGGCCAGGGTGGTGCTCTGGGAGCCACAGGGAGCCAGCCCGCCCAGCCCGGGCTCTGGGAGGAGCCTCGGGAGCGAGCACCCCAACACTAAGGCCCTGGTGCAGGCTTGGCTGCAGCGCAGGTGCAGACCGCGGGCCGGCGCCCTCAGCCTCAGGGCAAAGGCCTCCGTGCAGGAAAGGATGGAGCCGCGCTGCCTGCCCTGGGGACCGGAACTGGGGACCAGGACGCGGACTGGGGGTGTGTCATCAGCCTGACGGGGGTTTCCAGCCCCGACAAGACTTAGTGCAGTAACGAACCAAGCAAACGAAGCTTCGTTTAGAGAAAACCCCAGCCAGCCGGTGCCCGCTGAGAAAGAGCCCGACTGCCCCAGGCCGGTCTCCACGGTCCTCCGTCCCCCCGCCCCGCACAGCGGCCCTCAGGGACGAGGGCTGTGCTGGGGGTGCACTCGAGGACGGATGCGACAACAGCTGGGGGACGGGAGGAAGGCCAGGGCCGAGCCGCAGGCGGGCTGGGGCACGGCCTGGGGGACGGGGGCAGGGCCACACCTGCTGGGCCAGCTCCTGGGGCCACAGCTCACACCCGGGGGCCCAGCCGACCAGCTGCTGCTCTGCTTCACTCTCACCAAAACGTAACCAGCACCCTGACTCCGTTATCAGAAAACTCTCAAGGACTTCTGGGGTCACAGGATCTACGGTTTCTACACACGGTCTGGGGGAGGACTGAGGGCTCCCCGTGAGCTCCTCCCTCCATGCCGAGCGGAACCCGAGGCAGCCTGTCAGGTACCAGGGACACTTGGGAGTTAGGGGCGTGCACGTGTGCCATCACCACACACCAGGTCAGCGGAACAGGGTCCGAGCCGGTCAGGAGGCCAGCTGGGCCCCGCCATCTGGTGGGCCCAACTGGACGGCCTCACTGCTGTGGACGGACGGCGCCCCCTGCCGCACAGCGAGGGATATGCAGCAGGAAGAGGCCCAGGGCCTCCGGAGGGGGGGTGCTGGGGTACTGCCGCTACTTCCCTCCTGGGGGTGGGAGTGTCAGCAGAGGGTGGAACAAAGGCCTAAAGCTGCCAGCAAGCCCCTCCCAGCCTCAGAGGCAAGGGTCAGCCCGCCCCTGCCGCTCTCCACTAACTGGGGCCCGGAGCCAGGGCAGGGCCGGGCTGCAAGAGGAGGTGCAGCTCTCCAGAGGCCAGCGGTCTGCAGAACACCCCCAAGGCCCCCATCAGCCCCTTCCCGACACCTCCGGCCCCACAGGGGCCGTCTCAAGGGCCTCACCTCTCAGCAAGTCCGAGAGCGGGGGCCCGCAGTCACCCGGGATCGTGTAGTCTCCCTTCCCGATGTTCTCAAACAACTTGTAGATGTTGTCCCCCTCGAACGGGTACAGGCCTGTCGTGATGTTATAGCTTCGCCCCCGAGGGCAAGGAGAGAGGCCCGGTCAGTTGGGGCTTCTCCCACGGCCCTGGCCTGGAACCAGCCTGGCACAGGAGCCTTAAACCCCCCACACCTGTGGGGCCTCATACTGGGTGACTGGAATGTTCTGGAATAGATGGTGGAGGTAGCTGCACCACTCTGAAAATACCAAAACCCATGCACTGTAGCTCTTAAAAAGGTGGCTCTTGTAGTATGTGAATTATCCCTCAATAAAATAATACGGGGGTGCCTGGGTAGCTCAGTCGAGTAAGTGTCCGACTTGTTCTTACCCTCAGCTCTCAATCTCAGGGTTGTGAGTTCAAGCCCTGCACTGGGCTACTCAATGCCCCGTGTGGAAGCTACAACCAATCAATCAAATAACAATAACATAACATAAAATGCCTTTCAAAAAATTAAAAAAGTAGAATGGATCACCACACCGGCCAGCAGCTGCCCTGCAGCAGGGGCGGAGGAGAGGGGAGGGGAGGGCCCACTGGGGCCTGCCTGACACGGCGTTTGTCAGCGCTTGGGCGAGGCCTGTGCATCTCTGCAGTGGAGAGGGTCCCACAGAACCCTGGTGCCCACTCAGCGCTGCTCAGGAGGGGCCCCTGAGAGGGGGCAGGGCGGGGGGACTGAGGCCCATTAGCACTTACAGAGTGACCCCAGCCGACCAGATGTCCACCTTAAAGCCAGAGAAGGTGTCCAGGCCATTGGCAATCTCAGGGGGCTGGAATGCTGGGGAGCCCTGGCTCGTCCGGCACGTGTCGTCCTCGGCAAAGGGGTGCAGGGCCTGCAGCAATGCCAGGCAGCCCTTGAGGAGCGGCCCTCAGAGAGCAGCCCTTGGGGAGCAGCTCCCAGGTCCCCCCCAACCCCAGGTCTTAAAGGACGGGCACCCACCTCAGCCACACCCAGGTCGGAGATCTTGAGCGTGCCGCTAGTGGTGAGCAGCAGGTTGCCCGGCTTAATGTCCTTGTGCACGATGCCCTGGCTGTGCAGGTACTCCAGGCCATCTACCAGCTGGCAGAAGTACCTGCAGGGACACGACCTCCATAACCTGCCCCCACCGATGCTGCGGTCTCGTTCATCGGGTCTCCCTCAGTGCAACAGCCACCCGGGATAACCCAGCAGGAGCAAAGACAGGAGACCACGGCGTGGGGGTCCTTGGGGCTGGGCAAACAGGAATGACAGGACGGGTGGCCCAACAGGGAACCAGAGGGATGCTGGCCAAGCCAAGCAATTCTTGCCCCACAAGGGCAATGGACAACCACTCCAACCCGAGCCTCCTGGGGAAGGCAGAGAGGGGCTCCCTGGACCCCAGCTGCTTCCCCCACGAGGCAGACCTTCCTTATGCCCCCCGTCAGCCCAAGGCCTGGCCTGTGTCCTCCGATCAGTCAGGCACATGACCATGCCGCCTCCCCGGAAGCGCACCCTGGGGCCAGGGACCCAGGCTCACCCTACCAGCTCCCCATTCCCTCGTACCACAGGCCAGCAACAGGGGGCAGGGTGGCAGGACTCCCCATGAGGCCCAGCTGCCCGGTGGCAGTTCAGGGCACTGTCAGGGAGCTCTCAAGGACCAAGAGGTCTCTACACCTGAGCAGTGAGCACAGCAGGGCAGGGAGGTATGCAGAGGGGTTGCTCTCCACAGCAGCCAGGCTCACTGTGTTACAGGCTGAACTCCCAAAGCTGAGTCTTAAAAAACACATCTGAGCTTCCATTTCACTGGCGATCAGAACAGCCCATGAAGGGTGCCTAGGTGGTGCAGTCGGTTTACCACCTGACTCTTGGTTTCAGCTCAGGTTGTGATCTCAGGGTCCTGAGACTGAGCCCCATGTAAGGCTCCGAACTCAGCAGGGAGTCTGCTGGAGACTGTCTCTCCCTCTGCCCCCCACCCCACCTCTCTCATTAAAAAAAAAAAAAAAAAAAAAAAAAAAAAGAAGAAGAAGAAAAAAGAAAAGAAAAAAAAAAAACTTGTTTGAACATAGGACTTGGCTCTTGAAGCCCTTGGGCCCGTGAGTGACCCCCACAGGAGGGAGGGGCAACCATGGGGCCCCGGCAGCAAGCACTTACCCGTGGGCCTGGCACACAGGGAACCGCTTCTCCGGCACACTGTCCAGCATCTCCTGCATGCCACACACGCAGTACTCCATCACCATATACGTGCGGTGCTAAGGAAACCATGGATTGGCAGAGACCCCCACCCCAGGCAGGGTACATTCCCAGGAAACAGAGGACTATGCTTGTGGGGAGGGCCTGGGGGAGAAGACCTCGATTCCATCTGACGGCTGCATTAACAAAGATAAGCAGGAGCACCCAAAGACAACAGGAAAGACGGAGGGATTACAGCGCCTCCACTGACCCTGCTAGAGTCAACCTGTAGAGAGGTCTGTGGCCGCCTGGTCTGGGCTCAATGCCCCAGACCCACAAGCAGCCCTCCCCAGGTGATGAACACCCCGAGGAGCTCCAGCTCCACCCCCAGCCCCAGAGGAGGCAAGGGGACCAAGCCTGCGGGACAGGAGGGGGGGGCAGGTAGGGCAAGGGCATGCTAACTGATGGGAAACACAGAAGGACGAGGGGCTCTGAGTGGGAGGAGGACGGGGCCTTGGAGCGAGGGGGATGGAGGCCGAGGGGTGGCTGAGCCACCCTGGAAGCAGCTTAGTGTCTCAGGCCAGCAGGAGAGGACAAAGCCCTCACCCCGTCTCCGGCAGAGGTGGCCCTGAAAGCAAGGGCAGAGGAGACACGTGCTGGAAAGGCCATCACCCTGAGCCCAGCACTCTGTGGGAAGACAGCAGCTCGCTGAGACCTCGGGGCCCCACAGGCCTGCGTGCTAGACCTGGAGCAGGCCAGAGCCATACCGCCCTGAAGAGATGGAGCCCATCCCCAGAGAGTAAAGGGCAAAAGACAAGGACAAAGGACACTCCCAGGGAACATTCCTGCACAATGACACACTCCCCAGCCCGCGTTGTACCCCAAACAGAGCAGCCCTGAAGGGCAAAATGAGGAGAGCACTCACCATGAGGCCCCATGAACCCAGGGCCACCTAGACCTAGCACTCCCACTCCGGGGCAGGGGGTGGAGGGAGGGCCTCAGCACCCACACAAGTAGAGGAGGCTTGAAGACACTCTACAGACCCAGCAGCTGACCCGAGTGTCCTCAGGTCCATGCCCTGGGGCACCGGCCGGACAAGGCCGACTACTGGCCCATCCACGCCGGGAGGGGGTGGCCCAAAGGGCCCTCCGACCCGGGCAGTGCTGCCTCAGGAGCTCCTGGGTTTGCCAGCCTCCCACGGGGTCACGGGGGGCAGGTCCCAGCCCCACCCAGCCCCCTGCAGTGGGCCCTGACCTGGCGCTCCAGCGGATCAGCTGCCAGAAGGATATATTTTCTGCTTCTCCTCGTTGTATAACACGTCCACCAGCTGGATGACGTTTTTGTGCCGTAATCTCCTCAGAAGTTGGATTTCCCTAAATACAAAACACAGAGGCGTCAGCCGACCCTCTGGTGAGAACGGCACAGCCGGCTCCCCGGCTCGGGAGGAAGGGGAAGCTCGCCCTCTGGGTGCCGCGCAGGGGACACTGCAGGCTCTGAGGCGGGCTTTTCTGCTGCCCCTGAGCAGCACTGAGCCGGCTCTGCACAGTGACAGCACCAGGGTCTCTCCCTGAGCCTGGGGGGCTTCGATGGGACAACGCAATCAGGATGCTTTCTAAACATTTTAACGGAACAGTCTTTCTTTGTAAAAGGCCAGAGCGATGGGGTATATAGGGCAGCAGGTCAAGTGTGGGGTGAGCACCTACCGTGTGCAGGAGCCGGGGCTCCGTTACCCAGCAAGGCCAGGCTATCCCGGTCTGCGCAGCAAACCTTCCGTGCCTCTCCGGAGGAACAAAGCCCCAGGCACCGTGCCACAGCCGCACGGGCTCCATGAGGACTCCCTTCCTCTCCCTGGACCCCCACAGCTCTGCAGGAAGGACAGAGAGCCCTTTCCAGAAGAGCCCCAAGACCTCAGCTGCTCCAGCCCAGTGTGGGGAGAGAGCAGCCCCACCAGAATGGCCCCACGGCCTGCACCTAGGGCTGCCCACTCTGCAGATGGGCCTCTGACGCTCCACCTGTCCAGGGTCTGAGCAGGCCACACCACTAGCAGGGGTCGGGGGGCGGGTACGGTCGGCACCTCCTCACACAGTTGAGTCACCAGCTGAACCCGCAGCTCCGCTGCAGACACCCCCCCGGGACAACAGCAAGGACATCCACATGGAAACCGTGTGTGCGTGTCCACAGCAGCACTAGCACAGAAGCCCCACGGGGGGAACAACCCAAGAGTCCATCCAGAGATGAATGGACAAACGCGATGTATCCCCTAAGCACGCGCACACGATCAGGAGCAAGGCCCCCCCACGCCGCCCGGGGGACTGACCCCAGCCCAAAGCGCTCAGGGAGGGAACCAGAAACAGGAGGCCCCACGGGGTGGGAGTCCACGCGTGTTACACATCTAGGACGGGCTCGTCCACGCACGGGGAGGCGGCTCCAGGGCTGGGAGGGCAAGAGGTGACGGCTGATGGGGATGGGGTTGCTTTTGGGGAGACGAAATGTTCCGGCGTAAGATAACTGCGAACCCTAGGAATGCACTAAACGCCATCAAATCGTAGGGCTATGAATAATATCTTAACCAAGATTTTTTTTAAAGCCCTCCCCAGGAAGCCCAAATATGGGACATAGGAACAGCAGGGCCAGGGAGGCCCCATCCCCCTCAGAGGCTCAGGTCACACGTGTCCCGCTGTCCAGGCTGTGAGAAGGTGGCCTCTTCCAGGAGGCCCTTCCTGACAGCCACCCCTTCCAAGTGCATGAATCCTCCTGGGTGCAGGCCCTTTAGGGCTGCGATGCCTGGAACCATCAGTGGCTACTGGGACACAGATTCCAGGGCCCCAGAAATGGCATCTGTGCACGGCCCCACACCGCAGGCTGGAGACCCCAGACCCAGAGCCCAGGAGGCCATCAACTCACCGGACAAAGCACAGCCTTATGGTTGCTTCCCCACAAACTCATCGACCAAACCTGTTCGCATCCCCCACCAGACGGTTCGGGACACAAGAATCTACCCTGGTCTTCCGCACTGTTCGGATGGTATCCCTACCCGTCTGACCCCTGAGGTCCTGGGATGCTGCACACACCTAACTACACACCCTGAGTGGCGGTGACTCCAGACGCTGCGGTCACCTGGTTGGCACCCTCTGACCCCTGAGGGTTTACTCTGTTGTCCAGTGTCAGGGTGAGCAGGGATCAGACTCCATTCTTCTCCAAATAATTAGCCCAGGATTTCACCCATACAGCACTGCTAACATCGGGGCAGGTCACTCTCTGTGGGGGGTCAGCAGCATCCTTGCCCCCCATGCACTTGGTGCCAGGAGCACCCCCAGTCCTGACAGCCACAGACATAGCCCACCGTCCTCTAAAGGCGGGACAATGTCAGTGGGAGCCCTGCTGTAAGGGATCAGAAGGTCCCTGATGGGTTGGAGCAGACCGTCGAGCCCCTCTGGACCAGGGCAGGTCCTCCTGGAACCCAGGCCCATCATCCTCCGTCGCTCCTTCCTCCACCCCCTCCCACCCAAACCATCCCATTGCCTTGCCTCTCCCGCCCCACCCTCTGTCTCCAGGGCTCACTATGACCCAGAGACTCTCCACCCACTGGCTCGCCACACTCTACTTCCACCCGACAGATGCATGGTGTGGCCCGCCAGCAGCCCCCAGCCAGCAGCCTTTGGTGGCACTGCCATGTGCTGCCTGGTGTGAGTGCAGAGCAGCTCCTCTCAGAGACCACTGTCTGGCACCTGCTGTCCATCCATCAGACAAACACCCACTGAGCCACCCGGTCAGCAGCCAGAGCTAGGAGGCAGCTGCGTGGGCACCTGTCAAGGAGTCGCAGCCGGGGTGGATCCAGCAGAGGCACAGGAGTGAGACAGCATCCATGCAGGATGAGAGCTGGGTTAGCAAGCCCTGCGTAGCCATCAGGGACAGAGGGGTCAGCCACAGGGACGGACCGCTCGCCCTCCAAGCTCTAGCTTCCTGGGACCGTACACAGGACTAGAAGTCGTCAGCACTGACCCCAGTGTTGGACTGAGGTTCCCGACACACCGCGACAGCTCGGGTCAGCTGGCCGCTCCTCCGAGCTGTCCATGCCAACCTCCCCGCCCCAGAAACTTCCTCAGGGCACGCTTCCTCTTCATCCAAAGAGATCACTTCAGGTACTTGCAACACAACTAAAACACATGTGTCAACGGGGCGCCTGGCGTGCTCAGTCAACAGAGCACCCGACTCTTGATCTCAGGGTTGTGAGTTCAGGCCTCACACTGAGCATGGAGCCTACTTAAAAAAGTGAGATAAAATAAAATAAAAATTAAGAAAATAGAAATAAAACATGTGAGTTGAGACAAGGAGGCCTTTCCTTCATCCAACCGAATGGCAACCACCTGTGGGGGCAGGTGCCAAGGAAGCAGGGCTGGGGAGTTTGGAGCTGAGCTCCACGCAGCCCCTGGTGGGCGGCGCCTGTGACCACACTTCTAAACTCCCCATGCAGGGGCGCCCGGGCGGCTCAGCGGTTGGGCATCTGCCCTGGGCTCAGGCCATGACCCGGGAGTCCCGGATCGAGTCCCACGTCGGGCTCCCTGCATGGAGCCTGCTTCTCCCTCTGCCTGGGTCTCTGCCTCTCGCTCTCTGTGAGTCTCTCATGAATAAATAAATAAAATCTTTAAACATACATACATACATACATAAAGTCTCCACACGGACGGCCAATACAACTGCACTCCCTCTGGGAGCAGGGACCCCCCCACTGCGAGTCCAGGGGCCCCCAGAAAGCTCACTCCACATCCTTATGGGTAAGAGGGGGAGCCCACGGCTCTGCACTCCCTTCTCCCCCTCTCGTGTCTTCAGACAACCTGGGCCGAGGCTCCCCGTCCGCCTGCTGCCATCAGGATGAAACCACCTCCCGGGTCCATCCTCCTCGAGAAGCTCACTGCAGAGCAGAGGGCAGCACCCTTTCCTCCGCAACAAAACAGCCCAACGCTCCTATTCCCATGCCCGTAAAGTAAGTTCTGAAAGAACAAAAGGCGCCCCTCTCCTGTACTGGGCTGACCCACGCGGTGTGCGGGACCGCTCGCGTTCGCTCGGTTAACTGCGACCGACGCATCATGTGCAAACACGTCACCTCATGTGCACTCGGAAGAAGGGACACAGCCCAGAGCCTGACGGAGGGCCAGTGGGAGCCCCGCGCCGAGGCTGGAACCGGGGCGCACGGCCAGAGCTTCACCAGCGAGAAGGCAGGAGGGCGGCCCGCCACGCCGCCAGCCCAGCGGCCTCTGGGGTGGGCGGAGGGGTTTCTATCACCTCTGTATTTCCAACGTGTCCTACAAGTCACTCTCGGATCCAAAAAACTAGGAAAAACAACATTTAAAGAAAAAGGAAAAGCAAGCTCAGCCAGGATGCAGGAAGTGAAGGCAGAGGAAGCCGAGCTTCCGGCCCGCCTCCCCGCCAGGGCTCAGGGCTGTGGTCACCAGCCTCCCCCCAGCGCCGCCTGGGACCCGCCGGCGTTGCTGCCTCACCAAAGTGGCCTGCTTCGTTCACTTGTTGATTAACCAGAAAAAAAACTGAATGAGGGTCATAAAGCCACTCAAGCTTACAGTGAAATACAAAGTAGCTGCCTCCACGGTCAGGTCAGCCCCGAACAAAACACACGGGCACAGGGACAGGCCCAGGGCCACTGCTGAGAAGCACGGGCTCCACACACCCCAGAGGGACACTGAGCCAGCCCAGGGAACCCCCCCACATGTCACTCCCCTCCAGACAAGGATGGGTCCCCTGGGCACCCAAGGGGCAGGTGAGGGGCAACGGCGGCCCAGGTGGAAGGACATCAGGCCAGATCCCCCGACCTCTCAGCCCGTAGCAGCCGTACGACCACCAGCGCGGGGAGGGAGACTAAAACAAGGGAAGTTGCTAGAAGTGCAACTCACAGATATTTACACCTGTCCCCCACAGCATGAGTCAGGAAAGGCATCAGGCGGAGGCAGCCCGAGACCCCTCGGCGGGTGAATGGACACACGGAACGCAGGAGTGTCCCCCGGCCGTGAGCAGGAGCGAGGCGCCCACGCCGCCCCCGGGACGGACCCTGGCCCACGACGCTCAGGGAGGGAACCGGACACAGGAGGCCCCACAGGGTGGAGTCCGCGTGTGTGACACGTGCAGGACAGGGAGGGGACTTGTGGGGGGGGGCGGGGGGGGCTGGGCAGGGCTGGGAGCTGACGGGGGCGGGGTTTCCTTTTGGGGAGATGGAATGTTCTGCAGTCAGGTGGTGCTGAGTTCCACAACCTGGTTAAGCACTAAACGCCACCGAATTACACCTTAACGCTCTGAATTCTGTGAGTTACGTATCAATAAAGCTGCTAAAGAATACAGTCCAGGGCAGCCCCGGTGGCGCAGCGGTTTGGTGCCGCCTGCAGCCTGGGGTGCGATCCTGAAGACCCCGGATCGAGTCCCACATCGGGCTCCCTGCATGGAGTCTGCTTCTCCCTCTGCCTGTGTCTCTGCCTCTCTCTGTGTGTGTCTATGAATAAATAAATAAAAAGAATACAGTCCAGCCACACGGCGCATCCAGGATAAAGGGCAGCTTCGGCAGCCTTCCATACACCCAGGCCTGGCACACGTCCCGCCGGTCCCCAGAGCCCAGGGTGGCCCTGAGCTCCCGCAGTTCAGAATCAACTCCCCCCTCCCCCCACAGGGACCGACCAGACATTCAGGGAGGCCCCGGGCCCTTGGCCGTGGGTGTGTGCGGGGACAAACCTCGCCCTCCTGCTGCCGCCTCTGGCTGCCGGCCAGCCTGGGCTCCCAGTGGAACCCTTCCCAGGACGGGGCGGGGGTGGGGAGGGACAGATGCTGGGACCTTGTAGAGGCCACTTGGGACAAGAACAAGAGCCGAGAGAGTCCTGGGCTCTGACTGTGGACTGAAATCCCAGTCATTCACTGTCCAGATCCAACTATGTGCCCATCACCACAAGGCGGTCCCCGGCCTCACTGACGCCCCAGCCTGGAAACCCACACCTGCTTACAGGCCACCGCTGCCTGCCGAGGACCCGTGCTCCTGGCCACTCAGGACCGAGAATCTGGTTGGACGAGACCGGCTGGGGACGCTAGGGGGACCAGCACTCTGGACGTAGCTGATCAAATGCACACGTGCTCCCTTTGACCCAAAAACTCCACTTGAGCTGACATGCCCTTCAAATACCCTTGCACTTGCAATGGGACGGGAAACCAAGTAATTCCCCAACGCAGCACAGGAGCCACCAGCAGGAGGCAGGTGAGGTCTGACGGTGGAGCGCTGCACCCCAACAAGACCGCCATGGGGGCGACCTAGAAGCCTGACATTAGAAAAGCAAACTGGCTGGGCCGGAAGGGCAGGGGTCCAAGAGCCACGCCTGAGAGGCAACAGTGACTGCCCCGCGACTAGACGGCGGCGGCGAGCAGCAAGCGATTTCCACATTTCTCAACAGCCGACAGAAGAAAACCCCACAAAGGACAATGTTTTGTAATACACGAGACTGAAAAGTGAGTCGTGGCGTCTGCACACTGTCGTGGGTGCAGCCACCGGTGCTGCCTGTGGCCGCCTTCCCGCTGCTCCAGCACGGACGTGCAGCAGTCCGAGGCCTGCAGGGCCCAGCCGGTTTACTACCTGCCCTGTGAAGTGCGCCAGCCCGGGGAAGCAACTGTGCAAAAGGGGAAGAACGTGCAGTTATGCCTATACCCGCAGAAAACCCCACGGGCAGGACACGCGGCAGCAGATCCCCCTAGTGCCCCCAGAGAGGAGGGAGTGAGGGAGACTCCACAAACGTTTGCCTTCTTCCCAACTCTTATGGGTTCAACCCATGTGATTCTGCTGCCTGTCAGAAAAACAAGTGAACATGACTTATCTTCTAAAAATGATGTGGGATAAAAATACAACAATAAAAACGATGAGGGGTGACTGGGTGGCTCGACCAATGAAGCATCCCTCAGGTCACGATCCTGGGGTCCTGGGATGGAGCCCCACATCGGGCTCCCAGCTCAGCGGGGAGTCGGCCTCTCCCTCTGCCCCGCACCCCGCTCATGTATGTGCTCAAATAAGTAAATAAATAAATTCTTAAAAATAAAATAAAATTGGTGGCCCTATAAAAAGTTTCATCTATAAAAAGATAAAAAAAAGACTTGAACACGTGTGACAAGAGAACGCGTTCTGAGTTCATGACTGATATATATATATTTTTTTTACTTGAAGCTTTCTGAAACTCTCTTGCTGTATAAGAACATACTAGCTTCAAGGAGCATGAGGGAGAGGGGGGCGAGCACAGGCCCACAGCAGTTCTTGGGAGAAAACCACACGAAGTGGGGACGTCCTGAGCCTCCCCCACCAACCTTGATCACAGACGTCATTTTTTTAAAAAAAGTTTCTAGTCCAAGCTGGGACTCCTGAGGCTTGTCTGGAAGGTTCCGGACACTTCACTTGGGAAAAAGCAATTGGAGTTTATTAAGCCTCTCGAAGACAAAGGAGCCTTTTTTTCCCTGCAGCCGGCTGGCAGCAAGGCTGACCCGGGAGCCCAGACCTCCCCTTGCAAGGACACCCCTTTCCTTCTCATGAAAGCCGGGTCCTGAGCTGATGAAACGGGCCAAGTGCCCTACCACTGTGACACCTTATGCCAACTGCCAAGCCAGCTGGGGACTCCCAACACTGTACCTGACAGGCCTCAGTTTCCCCTCAGGTTCCTCTGATGGACACTGCAGGACCGAGCGCCTTGCAGCCCCAACACTGCACACCCAGATGTCTCCACCAGCTCTGGGGGCCTTGCTGACCATTCAGGAAAGCAGAGACTGGGACGCCAGCGCCCGTCAACCCCCCAGTCAGGTTCTGGTCATGTGTCTCCATGGAGCATCAGGGAACTCGTAGGTGGCAGTCTGACCCTGGGTGTGTGCCGTTTGTCAAGTCTCACGCCGCGCGTCATGACCGAGTGCCCGCACAACAGGTACGTTGTGCCTCAGCATAGACGGGCATGTGTCTACCGCAACAGGGGTCCACAGAGTCCTGGGGCCTGTTCCACTCTGCTGCCACAAGCCGCCCCAGAACCACCAGCAGGGTGGGCTTGGGTGCCCCAGCCACAGGGCAACTGGTGCTAGAACCCAACCCTAGCCCTTGAACGGGACTCACGGACTCTGGGAACCTCGAGGCGCTGCTCCCAGAAGGCTGGGGTCTGGGGAAGCCCCAGCAGCACGGAGCAAAGGAGCCAGCACCTGAACACCTGCACGGACCCGGCTGCCTCCAGCTAGCAGGGAAGGGACCGGCACCCTGCTTCCCACACATATCAGGGGATGAGACTGAAGAGGAGCCAGGAGGACCAAGATGGACCTGGGACACTGGGGGAGGACTCTGTTTCCAGGGCAGGAGCTCACTGTCCCCCAACCCACAAGGGTGGCAAACGGGCAGCCCGAGGCCACATAACTCCCAGGTGCTTCTGGCTTAATGAGCCAACAGGACTTAGAAGCCAGGGGTTGAGTGGGGATTTCTGACTGGAGGCGAAGGTCACCTGGACCTCAGGGGGCGCTGGCTTGCCACCTGCCTCAGTCTCCCCCACCCCCGCCTCACAGGTAAGAGAGGCTGGCCCCAGGGCACCCGGCCATCCCTTCTCGGCGCCCACAGGCTGGGGCATGAAGACGGTAAAAAGGCCTCGGCACAACACCGCCAGGCTTGCCTTCGGACCGCACGGGAAGACGACTGCCCCGGCCAGCTGCGCATCAACAGCAGAGCCAGTCCGGTGTGGGTTCTCCGTTCCATCCACGGCTTCACCACGCCCAGACCCAAGCCAGCCCGGAGCAAGGGAACACAGCTCAGCTTCTGCGTGAGAGCCAACCCGGCCAGGAAGGGGGAGGTGCACGCGGATAGGGGAGCAGCACTTTCCAGGATGGGCCTGGAGGGACGTCCAAGGTCGTCAGTCCTGCTGCCTGGCCCGAGAGATAAACCCCTTCTGGGAAACTGGAGGCTGGGAGGAGCAGGAGCCCAGGCGGGGCGGGGACCCAGTGGGTGGCAGCCATGAGGAGGGATGCCCCCTCCTGAGATCAGCGAGAGGGATAGAGATGCACACACACACACCCACACACCCCACCACCGTCCTTGGGGGTTGGGGAGACTCCTGCACAGACTTCAACACCTCTGCGACGCCCAGGGGCTGAAGCGCCTGAAGAAGTTTGGGTAAAAAGTTTGCCAGGACACAATCTGGTTCCTCTCCCAGGGAGTCACCTGGGCCTGCAATCACGGATGTGCCTGGTGTCACATCCCAAATGAGTAAGAAAGGGCTGAGTTACCCCCTGCTGACCGATAAGCCAGGGCAAACAATTATTTTTGGCAACCGCAGGGCTCCCCTCCAACAGGGTAAACAAATCGCATTTCGCCTGGCCCTAGTAACAGCTGCACGCTGCGCAGAAAACCTGCTGGTGGTGGCCAGAGCCGTTTAGGAACACGAATTCTCAGAGCCAAATAAACATTGGCTGGTTACACTGGGCACCTAAATTCTTTCGACAGCTGGGAGGGTGAAGGGGGGGATGGGACGCACCCTCATCTGGAAAAGGCTTGGACGCCAGCATCGGAAGGAAGGAAGGGGACACCCAGCTGCCGCAAGCGGGGCAAGCGGGCCTGACTCGCCGCACGGTACCTGAGCGGGTTCCCAACAACACCTGCCCTGGGGAGGAGGACACGGGAGCTGCCCGGGCACCTCGGCAGTTTAAGGAACGGGAACAAGCAGGAAGGAAAGGGGGGGGGGGATGACCGACCTTGCCGGCTGCCCGCGCAACGACCCAGGAAGCCCACACTTACTTCTTGACGTTCGCCTCGCCGTTGGGGATCCTCCGCAACTTCTTCTTCTTGAGAATCTTGACAGCTCTCCTGCACAGCGTCTCCGAGTCCAGCACCTCCTTCACCTTGCCGTAGGAGCCCTCCCCTAGCAGGTCTCCCATCAAGTACTTGCCGATGAGCTTGGCCCGCTTGCGGCGGGGCTGGTAGATGACTTCCGTGGAGTCGATGCGGTGGATGAACGTGTCCATCCCCACGGACATCAGCTCCCCCTCCGTAAACATGCCCAGCTGCTGCGGGTCGGCCACATCCATCCTGGACCCAGCGCCTCCGACTGTGGCCGCCGGCCCCTTATCTCCTACCCCCCGGCGCGGTGCGCCGTGCGTCCTTTTGTCCCCCTAAAATCCCCTTCTCCAAAATAAAAGGCCCGAAAACAAACCCTCCCCCCGCCCAAAAAAGAAAGTCGACAGAAACGCAAAAAAAAAGGAAAAATCGGGGAAAAAAAAAAAAAGAAAGAAAGAAAAAAACAAAAAACCAAAAGCCAGGAAAACCCTTCTCCCGAAAGAGACGATTGTACTAGTCGTGAGTTCAAGAGGCGCGCGTGGCCCGGAGCCCCGGCGGCCGCGGGCGCGGGGCGTCGCAAGTCTGGGTGCCTGCCCGCCGCGTCCACGGGGGCCCTGGGGAGGCCGGGGGGGCTTCCGAGCGCTAGGTCATCCTCCAGGGGCTTCAGACCCTCGGACGAGCGCCGCTGCGGCCGGGCCGAGTCCCCTCCGGGCCGGGCATTACCAGCGGGCCGCGGCGACCCGCCGGCCCCCGGGCCCCGGGCCGCGCGGCCGAGCGGCGCCGGCGGCCGGGCGCGCTGCTGGGGGCGGCTCCCGGCGGGGCCCGCCGTCCCGGGGGCCCGAGGCCGCGGCGGGCGCCTCTCCGGTCGGCGCGGGGGGCAGCGGCGTCCGCCCCCGCCAGCGCCGGGCGCGCGTCGGGGGGCCGGGGGGCTGCCCGGGGCCCTCCCGCCGCGGGGAGCACCTTCCGTCGGAGCCGGCGCCCCCGCAGCGGCCGCCCCCCGCCCCAAACCGCAGCCCGCGCTCGCTCTCGGCCGCGAACGCCGCCGGCCGCGGGCCGCGGGGCGCGGGCACCCGGAGGGCTCCGAGCGGCCGCGGCGGCGCAGGCCGAAGGCCCGGGCCGGGGCTTCCCGAGGCCGCCGGGGCCCGGACGGCGAGCGCCCCCGCCGCAGCCGCCGCGCGCGTGGAGCAGGCGGGGCGGCGCGGGGGCCCAGCCCATGCAAGGCGCCGCGGAGCCGGCCGGCGCCCGCCGCCGCCGCCGCCGCCGCCGCCGCCGCCTCCCGCGCCCCGCCTCAGTCGCGGACACCCCGGGCCGCCTCCCCCTTCCGCGCCCGACACGCCGCCGCCATCTTGTTTACCTCCCGCCCCCGCCCTGCGCCGCCGCGCCGCCGCACGCCCGCCCCTGCCGCCGCCGGCGTGCCCGCCCATTGGCTGAGGCGGCAGGCCCCGCCCCCGAGGCCCGCCCCGCCGCCGCCGCCGATTGGGCCGTTTGGACCCAGGCGGGCGCCCAAGTGGGGATTGGCTCACCCTCGGCCCCGCCCCGGGGGCGGCTACCGCTCGGCTCATTGGGCCGCCGAGGCGCCCGTCACGGGGAGGCGGGGCTGGCGGGAAGCGGGCGCGCGGGGAGTCGCGGCGGCGGCTCGGCCTCGGAGGGGCGCGGGGCGGCGGGCGGGGGTCGTTGGCGACAACGGCCGCCTGGGAACGGCTGTGCGGCGGGCAGCGCGCCCGCGGGCCGGGGGACTGGGCTCGGGGGCCCCGGGGCCACGCGGCCGGCCAGCGGGCGGAGCCTGCGGGGCTGGGCGGGGGGGGGGGGGGCGTGAGGTCGACCCCGCGCGGGGCGTGGAGATGACTCCGAGAGGAGCAGACGGAAGAGCGCCCGGAGCGGTCCGTTCCCGGCCGAGGGCCCGTGCCGAGCGCCCCCGGGAGCTGGGGCCGGGACGGGGGGGGGGGGGGCGGCAGCTCGGCAGGGTGGGCTACGCGGGCTGGAGGAAGCCCCCGCGCCTCCCTTGCGGCGGGCCGTCCTTCCCCGCCTTTGTGCCTTCAAGTCCTCCGAGATTGTGTTCCCGGAACCGTCGGCCCGTCCCGCGTGAAGCTCGGACTCGCCCCAGCCCGGGCCTGCGGACTGGGGGCGCTGGCACTGTCCGGGGTGGGCTGCAGGCCGGGGTTCTGAGCCCAAGACCTGCCGGGTACCCACGGCCGCGTGCGTGAGGCACCAGGGGACAGCGTGCAGGACGCGGTGGGGACAGCGTGCACCGAGGGACAGCGTGCAACGAGAGACAGCGTGCACCGGGGGACAGCGTGCACCGAGGGACAGCGTGCACCGGGGGACAGCATGCACCGAGGGACAGCGTGCAACGAGGGACAGCGTGTACCGAGGGACAGCGTGCACTGGGGGACAGCGTGCACCAGGGGACAGCGTGCAACGAGAGACAGCGTGCACCGGGGGACAGCGTGCACCGGGGGACAGCGTGCACCGGGGGACAGCGTGCACCGGGGGACAGCGTGCACCGAGGGACAGCGTGCACCGAGGGACAGCGTGCACCGAGGGACAGCGTGCACCGGGGGACAGCGTGCACTGAGGGACAGCGTGTACCGGGGGACAGCGTGCACTGAGGGACAGCGTGCAACGAGAGACAGCGTGCACCGGGGGACAGCGTGCACCGAGGGACAGCGTGCACCGAGGGACAGCGTGCACCGAGGGACAGCGTGCACCGAGGGACAGCGTGCACCGGGGGACAGCGTGCACCGGGAGACAGCGTGCACCGGGGGACAGCGTGCACCGAGGGACAGCGTGTACCGAGAGACAGCGTGCACCGGGAGACAGCGTGCACTGAGGGACAGTGTGCACCGAGGTACAGCGTACACCGGGGGACAGCGTGCAAGGGACAGCATGCACCGGGGGACAGCGTGCACCGGGGACAGCGTGCACGAGGGACAGCGTGCACCGGGGGACAGTGTGCGAGGGACAGCGTGCACCGGGGGACAGCGTACACCGGGGGACAGCGTGTGGGGGAAAACGTGCATGGGCTTCTCCCCATTCCGGGATCAAGGACGTCTCAGAGATCAGGGCGGAAAACCGTCGGGGAAAACCCATGAGACCAAGAAATTGTTCTCTGAAAGGATTTTGAAGAAAATGACGGACCTCAGGCCAGATTGGCCAAGAAAGAAAGAGGAGCGACGTCAAGAATGACCGAAAGGATGTCCCTACAGACGCCGCAGACATGATAAAGGATCGTGTACTGGAAACAACTCTGTGCCGGTAAATCCAACATCCTCGTTGCGATGGGACAGCACCGTGGAGGACCCCAAGACGAGAGCTCCCTCGAGAGGAAATAGGTAATCAGCGTAATCTCAGAACGAACGGAAACCTGCAGTGAAAGTGTTTTCAACAAAAACAAGGAAGGCCTAGACCTTTCGTTGGTGAATTTCCACCAAATGCTTCAAGGAGAGGGGACACCACTTTTAGGCCATGTCTTCCGTAGAACAGAGTAGGACGGGGTGCAGCCCAGCTCCATCCCTTAGGTCTCGCCCACTGCTGTGGCCGCTGGCTTACACCCCACGTTCCGGAAATCTTGGCGTCGGTACGCCTCCCGCGCCTTCCCGGAGCCCACCCGCCTCTCCTGATGGACAGGAGTCCCCACAGAAGGGACCCAGGACGTGTTCAGTGACCACTGTAGAAAGTCCACGAAGGCACCAGGTCAGCTCAGATGCACGCCCCCCCCCCCAGGAACCCGCCCCCCCGGGGCACTCCCTGCAGCACAGCCCCGTATGATTTACTGTTCAAGACTTGTCACCATGAGAAGTTGTCCCATACCTTCCTTTACCTAGTTTTGTTCCGTGTCTGGCACTAGACTGGAGCTGTCTGGGACCAGGACTGGGTCTGTCTTGGTCACTCTGTGTCCTCAGCTATGAGAGCTGGTTGTCCAAACATGTTCTGTGTGACGACACACAATTTCCAAGGCTTTGCATGGAAAGGTAAGAACTTCTACGACGTCTTGTTAATAATTTACACCGATGCACAATCACATGAGGATTTCAGAGGTTGGGTTAAAAGAAACATGTTGGGACGCCTGGGGGCTCAGCGGCTGAGCGTCTGCCTTGGGCTCAGGGCGGGACTCGGGGTCCCGGGATCGAGTCCCGCCTCGGGCTCCCCGCAGGGAGCCTGCTTCTCCCTCTGCCTGGGTCTCTGCCTCTCTCTCTCAGGAATAAATAAATAAAATCTTTAAAATAAAGTAAAACATGTTACTAAAATTAACCACTTCACACCCACGGGCATGGCTGTCACAAAAGCAACGGACGATCATAAGCGTTGACAAGGACATAGAGAACCTGGAAATTTGGTAGGAGTGGTGCAGCCACTTTGGAAAAATGCCAAAAGGTTAAATCCAGTGTGTCCGTGCTTCCGTGTGGCCCGGCTGCTCTCCTCGTGGGCGTGGGCCCGCGTGTCCACACAGAAACTGGTACACTGCGTGTTCACAGCAGCACGATTCACGACGGCCAGGAGTGAGGAAAATACCCAATGTCCACCCGCAGATGAACGGGTACACACAGCGTGTCCCCCACCCATGGGCACGTCCCTGGGCCGCCAGCAGGAGCGAGGGGCCCACGCGCCACGCCGGGGACCGACCCCGAGCCCACGACACTCAGGGAGGGAACCAGAGACAGGAGGCCCCACGGGGTGTGAGTCCACGTGTGTGACACATGCAGGACGGGCTCGTCCACACGCAGGGAGGGGGGTGGGGGTGCTGGGAGGTGGTCTGTTGGTGCGATGGGAAGGGAACGGGGGTGACTACTGATGGGGAAAGTGTTGCTTTCGGGGATGGAATGTTCCATCACAGGTGCCCTGAGTGAGGCAGCCAGCCACCTGCCCGGGGCCACAGCGGAGCTGGGACTCCAGGTTATAGTGGGACACCCCAGGTTATAGTGGACGCTCTAGGTTATGGGGGGGCCCCAGGCTACAGGCACAGGCCCCAGGTTACAGGTGGGAGAGCCCTGGTATCGGTGGAGCCTGAGACTAAACGGTGAGGCCCCAGGGCTCTGGCCTTGCCTCCGCCCTCCTCTCCTCCCACGCTCCCCCCTCACCCTCTCTTCTCCCCTGCCCGCCCGCGACCCCCATGCAGACGCCTGTGCCCAGCGGGGCCTTTGCCGCCGCTGCTGCCCCTCCCACTGCGCCAGCTCCGAGGCCCAGACTCCCTGTACCCCCTTCCCCGAATCGAGGACAGGAAGCCAGCGTGCCTCCTGGCGGCCGTCCCGGGGGGCTGCTGCACCTGGGTCCCCGTCTGCTCCGGGTGTCCTCAGGGCCAGGCTCTTGAGCCCAGGCCCAGCCGTCTCACGGACCGGCTCAGCCACAGAGTGGGGGCCCCAGGAGCCCCACGGGTGCTCCCAAGGGGACGTGAGCCTCCCCCGGGAATCCCGCGGGGGTTCCAGGTTAGGGCGCTGCCGGGAGGGGCAGGGTGTGGGGGGCCCTGCGGCCGCCAGGGGGCGGGCGGGGACTGCAGCCGGCTGCGGGCTGGGGCGTGTGCGGCTCCCTGTGCACGTCCACGTGTGTCTGCGTGTGTGTCTACACGTGAGGGCGAAACGCTGCACACCACGGGGCTCGACACCCCCTCCTCACCCCTCAGGGCGCGGACTCTCTGGATTATCACCGTTGTCACCACTTTTGGGTCTTGTTGCACACACGGTCACAGGGCAGCAATGCCCAGAGTCACACACTTGTCGCCACGCCAGGTGCTCCAGCTTCCCCAGGCCTGAGGACCCTGCGGGGGGGTGGGGTCGTCCTCT